GTGTGTGTGTGTGTGTGTGTGTGTGTGTGTGTGTGTTTTGCGTGTGTGTATGTGACTATGTATGTCTGTGTGTGTGTGTGTGTGTTTGACTGTGTGCGTGTGTGTGTGTGTGTGTGTGTGTGTGTGTGTGTGTGTGTGTGTGTGTGTGTGTGTGTGTGCAGTGCGGTGTACCATTCATTCAGCGGCATGTACCGAGTGCATATTGTACTTTGAAATTCGAATGTTTGACTAAGTTGAAGTACCCCTTGTTGTTTTTCCTGTCCTTTCGCAAATTGTTTACCACTCCAGCATTCTGAGTAAGGAAGGACTGAAGGAGGACGCTCTGCGTGTCCTAAGGAAGGCTGCAGAGCTCGATCCTGCAGTAATCACAGCATACATTCAGCCTCTTGAGATGCAGATCGCTGCAGGTCAGGCTCCAGAGATAAATGTATCAGTCATTGACGAGCCTGCTAGTCCACACCCCAAGGTCGGCGACCTGAAGTAAGTTGTGTTGTCGTCTGCGCTCTCTATCGGAAGCACAAGCCGTAAAGATCTTCCTGGGTTCTTGATTGAGTCCTAGCCTCCTACTGCAGGGTCTCTTCACCTTCACAAAGGGTGGATAAAAGTTAAAAGTTAAAAGTTAAAAGTTAAAAGTTAAAAGTTGAAAGTTAAAAGTTAAAAGTTAAAACCCCAACCGTTGAAAGCGGTCAGTCAAGCTGCGGTAGCGACGGATTAGTTACCGCCACTTTGTGAAGTTTGAAGTTTGAACACATTGATGATGCAAGCTGCTTACCGATTATTTTGCCCAGTGTGGAAGGAAGTCGGCATTTTGATTTCCCGACCACGGAATAGTGAACACAATGACGCAAGCGCCGAGCGGCTGATATATATTTTTAATTTTTTTTTTTCTTTGCCTCAGAGTCTGAGAAAGGTGGTCGGCACGTCGAATGTGAAAACGGGATTGACCGAAATTTAGTCAACGTGACAACTAATTGTTTTCCCACTGCGACACGTCACAGGCATTTTGATTTTTCCGACCGTCGAACACAACGATGCATCTTGAAGCTGCTGAAAAATTGTTGTTTGCACAACTTTGAACTTTCCAGTAACAATTTAAGTTTTAAGTTTTAACAAAAGCAGCCGACATTTTGATTCCGTGTACTTACAACCGATTGGCTGAAGTACACACATGGTGCTAACCAGGTGAAGAGTTCAAATCCTGCTGGATAGCATGATGTGAGGGGTTACACAACTTGACACCATTAATAAAAGAAGTTGCTAAGGATCCGGCTTGAAATCAGCACAGACACATCCTTCTGAAGTCTGAGGCGAGACTGGCCTACCGGCAAAGGGATCTGCAATCATAGCTAGAGTGAGAGAGAATGCGGTAGCCATCGCCATATCTTGAGTGAGGTGAGAGAGAGTGTGGTAGCCATAGCCATAGCAAGAGTGAGAGAGACTTTGGTAGCGATAGCCAAACGGAGGTGCCGAGGCACCGGTAGATGAGAGTAGGAGAAGAGGAGAGATATATGAGGTGGAGTCCCAAGGCTTGGGGGAGGAGGAAGCTTACCTTGAACAGTTTTCTGCCATAGCTTTTGTTGCAGAGAAGGGGCCCATAGGTTGTATGCGCTGCGCTCGTCATTCTTCGTCAAGACGTAAACGACCAGTACCTCTCCCTGGCAATTTTTTGCAACGAGGTTGACCACGCCCCGGGCCCCGCATTCTTTGCGGGCTGACCTCCCGGACCTTTTTGGTTCACAAGGGGTTAACGGGGCCTCCGGTTTTCTTATAAAGGGACCTGAAAAATGGGTGCTCGGTTAACCTGCTCTCTTTTGGTTGGCGGCGGCAGCCAAAAAGCGAAAAAAAAATAGCACCATGCCGGTTTGTTTCCGGAATCGACGGGCAGCAGAAATCCACCCCGGGAAAAAAAGAGGCTCGGAGGTACCGGTGGCTTAAGAGGGGATGGTGCTGACTGGTACAAGTCTGGCGCCTGAAAGAGGAGGGTCTGTGTGGGAGATGGGAAGGAAGGAGAAGGCAACCATTGAAGAAGGGTTGGCGAGAAGGAAGAGGAAACTTCAACTTACTTGAGGACTGGCGACCATAGCTACGGGAAGAAGAAGACCCCCAGAGGAGGGAGGGAAGAGACCGGCGTTGGTACTTCGAACCACTAGTACACGGCCCCAGCCTTGCAGTCCGAAACTTGTTGCCACATGAAAACGAGGCCGAAACGTCAAACGCTGGGCCTGTCGTTGATTTTAAATTGGATCGGGGATCGCGTTTTTGTTTCGCGCTTCGAGAATTCGAGGGGTCAGGCCCGCGGCCCAGGTGCCCATGTACAGGTGCTTGAACACCATTCTATCGCCGCTTGTGC